CAAACCCCGTTGCACACCGTTTCCAGGAAACATGTCGTTCAAACCGGAAACCGTAGCAAAACGGTGCACACCGGTTTGAGCTTGAACTTGCCCCAGGTTTGAGTTGGTCTATGGCGTAGTCTATTTTCAGTTCCTCAAAATAGCAACGGGCCAACATTGCGCCTTAACACACCTCTTTTTTTAGACCAGCACGCCCATGGGCGCACAAATGGGCGCAAATGCATTTGCTATTTAAACAACGCGGCGCAGGACGGGAAAATGAGAACTGCGTCGGGCTGAAATTAGCAGAAACACTTGCTCCGCGACTTGCGCCGCCGAGTGTATGATAGGGCCCATTGACCAACAAAAACCTGGTCTAAAGTCTGGCGCAATTATTATTATTTTTTTTGTTATTTAAAGAGCGCGTTAGTAATATGCGCCTATAGGCGGGTGCACAACGCGCCTACACTTTGCTTATTACACACACAGGGAGCGCAGCAGCACACAAACATTTGTAAAAATGAAAAAAACTAAAGGATTAAAATGTAAAAGATTATTATTGTGTACATAAATATAAAAATGCCTACATGTCATAATGGATAGTCTTTGCATGTAGCCTATCAGAATTACGCGCAGGAGCAGATCCGTTCCCTCACTAGAGAAGCGTCCGTTTTGTGTAAGTAGCGAATCGCCATGGCGCGAGCGCAACTGGCTTTTAAAGGGAATGGGAGATGAGACTCTGATTGGTTCATGGCACGTTACGCCCAAAACACACCCATTACTCATTATGAAAATAGGGACAACCCTTTTAGACCATGAGCCGGGCGCGCCAACCATTTTTCCCGTCCTTATACTAGCAAAAGTGGACTCGGCCACGACCTAAGCGCAATTGCGCCGTGCGCTTTAGACCATGCGCTTAGATCGTTCAAATAGGGCCCCATTAGTCATTGGCTGGAAACTCATGCACAATGCAGTGGCGTGTCCACAAGGGTGGCACGGGGTGGCAACTGCCACCCTTAAAATGAGCTTTGCCACCCCAGTTGCCACCCCAAAGCAGCGTATGGGATCGAAGTGCATTGAGAGCGGAGCAGCGTGATTTTAACTGAAGCGGGGATCTTTTGAAAGTCGGAGAATTCTGGTTTTCGCTCGCTCTCAGAGTGCTCCACTACCGCTCAATCACTAGCACAATTAATGCCATATCTATAGCCGTTCTAAACTAGTTCTGCCTACAAGGATTGTACTGCAGGCACACATGTACAGACACATAACGGATCACAGAAACAAAAAATATTGTCAACGCTGCCCTGTGATTTGTCAACAAAAAATGCTTAGAAACAGAAAGTTATACCGAAAATTTCTTTGTGTTTTGAAGTAATCAAAATCCACAGCTTCACTATTAGTAGAGAGACGTTGCACAGACAGGCAGGACTAATTTACACGTAATCGCGCTCCCACAAATGCATTCAAATAAATGTAATTTTACGGTGCTTCTATGTATCTGATGTAATAACCGATAAAATAACTGACGAAAATGTAGCCTACTATCATTTCATCCTTCCAAACAAAATTCACACTTCAAAAAGCTGCAATGACAGATGTAACTTTTAATTTTAATAACCTTTGAATCGTTTAATGCACACTTACTTAAAGGAAAGAAAATAACACATTCTTTTTTTTATTTGGTTATTATCATCATCATTATTATTATTATTGTTATTATTAGCCTACTATGCATTCATTCATTTGGTCTTATCTGATCTGCTCAAGGGCTCGTACGTTTACATAGGCTACATTTATCCAGAGAAAACTGCACTGCATTTAACATACAGGCCTACATTTTTCGATCGAACCCATGATTCTGATGAGCAACATTTTACACATTTCTTTAATAAAAGTTTATAAATAATCAAAATATAAACAAAGAAGGTTTTTTGTTGTTGTTGTTGTTTAGAATTTTAAATGAGCTCAAAATATTATTATCAAGTAACTACATAAATCGCTCACCCTTTGATTAACTACATAAGGGAGTGGAAACGGCAAGTGAATACATGAATCAGTGATCCTCTGCAGCCATCTACTGGTCATAGTGGTAATGTCATGTCATGTTC